TTTTCAAAGGAACCCTTCTAAATGTGTTGTAGATTTTCATTATTTTTATGTTTAGCAAATCATGTTATATTCAATTTTGAAAAAAAACCCCTCAGATTCTTCATTTTTCATTGCTAAGGTTATGGATTTCTATGACAAAAAAAAGTATATTTTCTTTCATAAATAAATAGATAGGCTACTAATTGTATTTTTATGTGAAGAAAGTCATGTTATAAAGTCAGTTTCGATCTGTTGTACTGGCTCTGAGGTTGTGTTAATTTCTATGAATTAATTCTGTTTTTCATATTTGGAACATTTTTAATTTTCATGTGAAATTTAATGATATGAAATGAGGTTTAATTTCCAATTTTTTTGCACGAAACGGGCTAATGAAGACAGACATCCGCCATACAGTGTGCAGTGGTGGAAATCAATACAGTGTTTTTGATATACAAGTGGTAGGCTACATGAGAGATTCTTGTTTTGATCATATTTGACTGTCCTGACTAACTGCCCAGAAATCCAGGGACAGGTTAGATCTAAATATTAAGGGCACCTGCAGATTTCGTCAAGGTCAAAAAATATAAACCTACCCTGAACCCATAATCCTCGGCAACAATCACATGCCCCAACCCTGTTTACATCTCGTGACCGTGACGAAATCTGCAGGTGGCCTTAGTATTTTGATCTAACCGTGAAATCACAGGCTTTAAAACTTATTGATTCTATGTAAGAGGTGTGTTAGATAAATTTAAACTTTGACCTCCCTGTAACAAAACACTTTAAGTTGAATTAAGATTATTGGTGTTGTGTACAAGTCTGAATATGTGTAAATGAAATGAAATGAAATGGGGTTTAACATCCCACTGTTCTACTCCTATACTGGGCTAATGAAGACGGGCATATGCCGTACAGTGTGCTATGAGGGAAATTTTGCCCGTGCAGCGGCACTATCGCCTACTCTTATATCGAATTCCAACTGCCAAGGGATCTTTTATGTGCATTCCAATGTATACACGGAACCTCGGTTTTTCGTGTCATCCGAAGGACTAGACAGCTGTCCTTGTCAAATATGTGTAAGCTTCTAGAAAACTTTATTCCTGTTCTCATTTATTTGATTAGCGCGTGTCATTGAGTTATCAGGCGTGGTTTCTCTGGGTCCTCCAGTTTCCTCCCACTGCTAAAGACTCCTACGCACATGCAAATTACTGAGAAAAAAAAATTGAACCATATGTTAGTTTGTGTCGAGTGGATGTTACTCCCCATTTCTCTCTCTCGCTCCTTTATTTGGAAAGTGCATAGACTATTGTGCATTTTATCTTTTAAAGGCCCAATACCACTCTTGTTGTAACTGAAAATAATGTCCCAATCTTTATTCTGGTCAACAAATTGTACTATTTTACAATATTCCAATTAATTGATGATACAAATTTCATCTTAAAAAATTGGAAAAATTCAACTAATTGATTTGAAAAGCCTAACGTAAACCTTATCAAATGTGACTTGGATTTAAAAATATTTTCGAACCCTCTGGACAAGTAAAATAGGATGTAATGGATAATTTACACAACAGGTAGGACACTTAAACATCTAATACTTAGAATAAGGCTAATATTTATTTACTGGAGCTGTCAAGCCAGCAAGAGTGTTATTGTCCCTTTAAGATACAGAAATACAAAATAAATATTCAACGTTCAGCATACATGTATATAGAAGTCAGGACATTTTTTTAAAAATCATCCTTATTACAATCAGTTTTAACAACTATATTAGACTTCTTGTTTTGTTCGAGCTAAAATCAATATTTCTATTATAAACTGTGTATTATAGCCATGACAATAGAATGTTGTTTGTCGTTAAAAACTAGCTTAAAAGATAATCAACTATTTTTATATCTGTTCTATTTACTATCCTCGGCCAAAGCTTTTCATCATCTAATAACAATGTCATCCGGCTGAAAAGCAATTTGCCAAGTGTCGTAGAATTATCACAAGCTTTCAGGAAGAATCTAGGGTTATTCTATTTATTTACTTGGTTTCTAAGCAAGAGATTTACTTTAATGACGAGATTTTTTATAATCTGGGCACAAACGAGAAATTGACAATGAAAGTCATGTTAAAATTGTCAGTTGATTAAGGATCACATGTCGCGTTATAATTGACATTAAAGTTCAGTCTAGGATTTCGGCATGATGGTATAGCTTGCTTCGGTTGTCAAGGCAGACTTCTTTCTTTTTGTGCTTTCTTACTTGACTTTTGGTTCAAAACAACATTGTAGTTACTGGTATATTGCTCAAGACCGGATACGCATAATCCTTTCGGTGAAGTCAACTTGCTGTTACTCAATTCTGTTGAGCTCTTCCATTGGATTCTGTATTTTGACAACTAGTTGGAACTGATGGTACTGGAGATTTATATTCAAATTTAAAAAGCATTATTTGGATTCACCTGCTACTGCTTTACATTACTGTAAAACATTTAGATAACATGTTGAAGAAACAAATTTGGATTTACATGCTTTTGTTTTAATTGCTGTAAAACATTTAGATAACATGTTAAAGAAACAAATTTAAAATACTGTGCTAAAAAGTCGCATACTCCTGTGCATTTGAAGATCACTTTACAAGATTAATGAAATATATCATATTTATTACTTTTTTTGTTGGATTCTGGATACAAAATTATCATAAAGTTATTTGTGTGAAATACACTTCTGATACATTATATCTAATAAACTGAGCAGAACAATAGAGTTAATGGTTATTAAAAATTATTCTAATCGGTTCATCATCAGCTATGAATATTGATCATACTTTTATACATCTAGTGAAATATCTCGTTTCAATTTTTGAAATTTAACCCATTCGGATAGACATGGGTGTGTTCACTACTCTCTGCTATGTTAAAGATGTAAAATTGTGTGTATTTGAAATTTGAAATTATGTGAATTTAATGTTTCAAAATGAAGAGAGCTCAGTATAAAAAGGTATGAACTAGATCATTGTAATCTTTTATTTTCTAGAAGTGGAACACATCAATATTATTTCAGAGAATCATCTGCAACTAAGTAGTTCCATAGTTTGCTTAAAAAAAACATTATCTCCATTAGTCATTAAAATGTTGTTGGGGCATTTGCAATGCCAATTGGAACTTGTTTTTTGTATTTTAACATTACTCATCCAGGTCTGGCATGCGGCATATTTCTGTAATTGGTCTTGGTAAATGAAAGCTATTTCACTATGACAGTCAGAGTTTGATATAGAATCTGTTGTCGAATTTCAAGGTTTCATTAATGTCAATGTTAACTGGCCTGTTTAGACTGAAATACAATGTCAAAATCTTACTGATACTTTACAAAATGTAATATATAAATAATGCATTTGTAGGGTAAATGGAAACCCAGGGCAATGTGTTAACTATTTTGTTTAACATATACACTAACTCTACTAGCACACTTTCAAACAAAATACTAAACTTCAAGGGCAATGTAAATCATAAGTCTATCATTGAGTCAAATGTTATGGTTTCCATGGTTTCCATTCCAGGCTTGTATATGACAAGGACTAGGGTTTCCTGCTTAACCTTTTTTATCCCACTGCAAAAAGACCCCTACCACATGCAACTTTTTGAAAAAAGTGCATATGTCACAAAACTACATTACCCCCCCTCTCTCTCTCTCTCTCTCTCTCTCTCTCTCTCTCTCTTATAACATGGCTCTTCATCAAGAGACATTTAGAAACATGCTCTAAATGTCATCTAGTCTGTGTTAATGCATGAATCATCCATATACATTCATAAAATATATATTCATAAACTATTAATTATGACTTTTATGATGCATTAAATAGATTAACATTATATTTAACCTATTTTCTCTGTAAAGATAATTATTTTATTTGGAATAATTTTTTAAAAATATATATTTAACCTATTTTCTCTGTAAAGATAATTATTTTATTTGGAATAATTTTTTAAAAATATATAGGTAATTGATAAATGTTGGAAATACACACACTTATGGCTGATTTTTTCTCTTGTCTAAATAGACTCCAATCAACACAAAAAATAGATCATTTCAGGACTAGCATGGTATGTTTAAATTCCATGACAACCATGTACGAATCTGGAGTCGAATCAACAAATCAAACCAGCAATAAATGGATCGATGACAAACCATATGATCTATGTACTGCACATACATGTACCCCTGGGGGGTTGGATGACCGATTGGTTAGCACATGCGCTTTGTATCATAAGGTCTGTCTTTCAATTCCCCGGTTGTACGTGACAAGGAGTAGGGTCGCTTGTCCAACCTCATTGTTTTTCTCCGGGTCCTTCGGTTTCCTCCCAATACTAAAGTCCCCTATGCGCAGGCAAATTATTTAAATAAAAATGAACCATGTATTAGTCCTGAAATGACCTAGTTTGTGTCGAGTGGATGTTAAACCCCATTTCTCTCTCTCTTTCTCCCCCTTCCCCACTCCCATTATTATTAGAGGTACATTGAGTTTTATATATCCCACTTAATGCTGCTATGACCAAAACTGATATTTTATTTCCTTTTATTCCAGATATAAAATAATTCATAAATATTTTCTTTAGATCACCCATTGATATTTACTGGAAAATACATAGTTTTATTTCCTTTCTACCCATCTATTATGCAGTTCTTGTCGTTTTAACCAAAAATTTGTTTCTTGTTTTAAAAGAGACAAATTTTGATGGAAAATTTTAATTTGTATATATTTTTGATTTTCATGATTTATATTTTAACTATTAATATACGTTAAATTTTATGTTATTTAATTTAAATATATTGACTGTGATATATGTTTTTATTGATGTATATTAATATATTAATGTGATATTATTTAATTTGTCTCCTATATACATCATCATATGTTTGGTGCAGGGTAGCCCGGATGGAGCTGACATGCCATAAAACCACATTTCATTCATTTATTCGCTTTTTGTTTTTGTCCATTTAGTTGCGATTATTATTTATTATTTTATCTATTACAGGAGTTGGTTGGTAACACTGCTGAACAGCGTAACTGGCGTGGAATAGCAATAGCTTTACTTGTAATAGTTGTAGTCTGTGCTCTTATTGTTACTGCTGTTGTTCTCGTCACTCCAAGTAAGTCTAACGATTTTTGCATCAAAGATTTTAATTTCTTAGTGCTCTTTTAAACAAGGCTATTGTCTTATTCTTTGAGATTTTTCATTGGTTATCTAACAAAATACATGTCTTTTAAAAAAAAAAGATAGGTGACTTCAATAGACTGTTCTCTTAGTCTAGTGTGTTGCCTGCCCTTTTAAAAAAGGAAATTAATATTGGATTTTACGCACAAATAGGGTTTATGGAGATGGGTCACTTTAAAGAAATTAGATCAATAATGATATTTAATACTTGATTGACTTTAACCATAACTCCAAAACTGTAGTGGCAGAAAATCTACGGTTCAGACAAGGTCTTTTACTGCAATATTTTGCCTGATTTTGATCGATTTTGTTTACTTCGTATTAGCAAGATTTAAAAAAAAATTATCCCAGTTTGATTATGAGTAGAAGTTTAACAGTATTTTTTACTTTAGCTCATGAATAGACAGACAAATAAGTTCTGTAGTCAATCAGGACTGGCAAATTTGTCTGAAACAAGAGACCTGGCTGTGATTGCTTACCATGGGTAGATCCTCTTATTGAAGGTTAAATTAATGGTCAAGTCATTTTAATTATTTTAAATTTCAGAAACTGTAGATGAAGATTTGGGCGAGAAGTTTACATTAGAGGATTATTTTGACAGCAGCTATAAACCTAAACCATTCACTCCTACTTGGATACCTGGTACGTACGGTTATTTGTCACATCAATTTTATGAGAATATCATTTTCATTCACAACTTCATGGTTGATGGTGTGTTCCATCTCCATTAATTAAAGATACATTATGGGAGATTAGATAAAGAGCTGACAGTTCCCACTATAATAGTTAAAAACTAGATAATGTAAAGGGAATTTGCTGAAAATTTCAGTCAAATTGATCCACTCCGAACCGAGATTTTAGCAATTGAATTTTGGCCTACCCTCGATCATCATTACTTATGTCGGTACAACATAGTCTCGATTATCCATTTCATCATTAAATTATGAATGGAAGTCAAACAGCAAATTGGAACCTGATCCAAAAAACATCGCAGGCTAGCGATGTCATGGAGAGTTGATTATGGTCTGGATAAGTTAATTAATGTCTAATTAATAATTTAGATAGAATTTCAGGCCTAAAGAAAGACCTGCAATAGGCAGATTTAGCTCTTGCATAATGTATGTTAAAGTTGATTCCCTTTATACATGTGCTTCAATACTCCAGGCTATTCTACATGTATAGTAGTGAAAATATTGTAGGGTGTGTGTTAAAAGATTCTAATGTGCTGGTCATTTAAAAGTTAGATCCATCATGACCAGTGTCGCCATAATGACTTCATCACTATGGCATGCATGATGATTTTCAGTAGTGTAACTCTATAAATGAAATCAAATGAAATGAGAGAAATTTTGACCGAACAGTGACACTACACCCTAATCTTTAATGTGCAAGCCAATGTGTACATTGGACCTTGTTTATTTGTCCCATCCGAATGACTATTCCTTGTCCACAAAAACTATAAGTTTTGCATTATTTCTACATTCTCATAACATCTGACTAGAAGTGACGATAAATATGAATGTTTTTATTTATCTTTAAAAAACATTTCAAAGGAAATAAGTCTTTCATACTTATCGTCACTTCTGGTCAGATGTTATGGGTTAAAAATCTTAAAGTACAAATAATTATTAACCTCAGCCAAATCTTTCAACATGGCATAATATGAAAATATGAAATATGAAAGCTTTATTTAATTTAAAGTACAAATAATTATTAACCTCAGCCAAATCTTTCAACATGGCATAATATGAAAATATGAAATATGAAAGCTTTATTTAATTTAATTTCCATGTTTTCATTATAGATACTGTGATTTTTGTATGTATTGTTTTACAGGAGAAGAAAAGTTTTTATATCGGAATGAAGATGGGGCGTTGGTGGAGTTTAACTGTGCCACCAATTCTACCACCATTATCATGGACAACACAACTTTTGTAAGTATTTTCCGGTGTGGTTTCCACTTGTCAGTGGTGAAGGATGGAGGGTCTGACAAGGACAGCTGTCTAGTCATTCGTATGGGTCGAAAAAACTGAGGACCCGTGTATACATTGGCGTGCATGTAAAAGATCCCTTGGCAGTTGGAATTCGATATAAGAATAGGCCATAGTGCCACTACCTGGGTAAAATTTCCCTCATAGCACACTGTAATTTCCCTCATAGCACACTTTATGGTGCGAGCCCATCTTTATTAGCCCAGTAAGAGCAGAACAGTTGGAGGTTAAATGAAATGGACTAATAAAGACGGGTGTACATCATACATTGTGCTGTAGGGGAAGACAGGGGGCGAGTGCTGAATAGTCTAAGGTGTTTGCTGTCATTGACTCAAGTGGTGTGGTTTCGATTCCCGGATTGTACATGACAAGTAGTAGGGTCGACTGTCCACCCAAATCCTCTGCTTTCCTCCCACTGCTTAAGAACCATTGAAATAGAATTGAACAATGCGTTAGTCCTGAAATAAACTAGTTTGTGTCAATTGGAAGTTACACCTCTCTCTCTCTCTCTCTCTCTCTCTCTCACACACACTCCCAGGAGTTTTGCTTAACAACAGCGCTAGGGCCAAGCCTTATTTCGAATTCCAACTATCCAGGGTTCATTTACGTGCATGCCAATGTGTATACAGGTCCTCGGTTTTTCATACCATACGAACAACTACTCCTAAAAAATAAAATATGGATATTAACACAGTATACGACGAGTTCAGTTTTCGTACTGCAGAATAATTTTACCAAAGTTGAACTCATAAGATTTAAATTAAATATTAAGCTTTTGTACTTTATTGAAAAGTTTATTTGATGTAAGTTGAACTATTAGGTTGAAATTAATTATTAAACTATTTTACTTGATTGAGAATTTTCATATTTATAATTACAGAGACAGTTGGATACAAGCCATTTTGCTTTATCAGCAGATAGACAATATGTTCTCCTTAAATATAACGTAGCACATGTAAGTATTTATTAATTCACAAATTTCTCAAAACATTTTCTAGTGTACAAGTCCTCATCTAATGTAGTGACAATACATACACACAATTGGAAATATTATTATTCGATTGAATCCGTCGACTGTATGAGTTCCACATCATCAGTCTATCTAAATCACGTATTCTGTTTCCAATTTCAAAACAAAAAAAATATCTGCTTAATTACTGTTAATCTGCTGCGATTGATACATTGTATGAGATCATTTTTAACTGTCAGGTAGGATTATATACTTAATTGTCATTGGGTATAATGGAAATCAATAAATGACAATGGTCAAACATTGTTTTAACAATCTGGTTAAAACACACATCTCATTTCGTTTTGTTTTTTATAGATCAAAATTTTGTTTTACTTGTCTATTCTACACTACACTACATTGTAACCCAGATATCCTTTAATCTTGTGTATTTAGCACTAATTTCTTTCACATTCAGTCAATATCAAATCTTTGTTTAAAAATTTGTAAAAATCGTTTAAAATCACCAAAATATCATCTAATTTGTACTTGTGCCCAGTTTTAAGCTGACCATTCAATTTTGATAATGAGTGTCCCATTTACAAGAGTTTATTTTCTTGATCACTGTTAAAAAATAAACAACCCAACAGATTATTGATGTATACTGATTAATTTTTGGAATAGTGGGCTGGAAATTAAATACTTGTAAATAGGACACTTATTATCAAAATTAATCAGTCAGCTTTAAATTAGACACAAGTACAATTAGATGATTTGGGGTGATTTTAAAATATATTTACAAAATTTTAAACAACGATTTGATATTAAACGATTGTGAAAGAAATTAGTGCTAAATACACAAAATTAAATGATACCCAGGTTACAGTGCTAGGATCTGGAAGAGTTGTTATATAACCCTCGTTCTGGTTGATTTGAGGGATTAGCTAATGAAACGGTCTGTTATGGCAAGTTTTTTGCGTGAGGTGCACATAACTGTGGGGGTAACCCACTAGAAACATCGGTGCTGATTGGTCAAAAGCCACTCGTATGACCCCATCGAAAGTATAATAACACAAAACGAAATATAGATGTGTACTTTAATCAGTCATTAGAAAACAGGACAGTTTTAGTTCAGTTAATGCTGGTGTTATCCGTGATAGCACTTGTCAGATTGAACTATGTATCCTCAGGTACCTTTTCATCATTGACCCATTTTTAAACAAACATTTTAAAACATATCATTTTGATCAATATTGTGACATGTTTTTTGATCTTATTTGTAGGTATTCCGACGGACAACAATAGCTTCGTATGTTGTATATGATATCAACACAAGGTAAGATTGAACAATATTCAGTACAATTGTTGTGGGGGTTGGGTGGCGAAATGGTTAAATGCATGCACATTGGATCATGAGGTGTCATTGAGTCAAGTAGCGTGGTTTTTAATCCCCGCTTGTACGTGACAAGGAGTAGGATCGCCTGTAGGGTTTTCTCCAGTTTCCTCCCACTGGTAAAGAATTATTGAAATAACATTGAACCATATTTTAGTCCCAAAATGACCTGTTTGTGTTGAGTGGATGTTAAACCCCATTTCTCTCACTCTCTCAGTACAATTATTCTTCCATCAGTTTAATTTTGTATCAGGACATTATTTAGATTTATATTTCAATGTTAGAATTGATGGTTTTGATTAAATTTGGGAGCAGTACTGGTATGTTTTTCAGTATAAATCTTTACTTTCTAATATGGGTATAATGATCAATCAATTTGAGTATAATGTTCAACCAATTTGAGTATAATGATCAACCAATTTGAGTATAATGATCAACCAATTTGGGTATAATGATCAACCAATTTGAGTATAATCACCATATAATGACCAACTATTGTGAGTTTAATGACTAACTTAGTAACTATTATTGACCAAACAAGTTGAGTATAATTACCTACTAATTTGAGTATGATCACCATATAATTTAACAATTTCAGGGGTTCAACTGTGATAAAGGGACCACACGGAGAGGAGAGGATACAGTATGTAGTCTGGGCACCTAGAGGACACGGATTGGTAAGAGATGGAATTAATATAATGAAATGAAATGAAATGGAGTTTAACGTCCTACTTTTCTGCTCCTAACCTGGGCTAATGAAGACGGGCATACGCCATACAGTGTGCTATGAGGGAAATTTTGCCCGGACAGCGGCACTACGGCCTACTCTTATATCGAATTCCAACTGCCAAGGGATCTTTTACGTGCACCCCAATGTGTACACGGGACCTCGGTTTTTCGTCCCATCCGAACGACTAGACAGCTTTCCTTGTCAGCCCCTCCGTCCTGCATCACTGACAAGGGAGAACCACGCCGGAAAATCTGGATGAACTTTCTCGGCCAATGCAGGGATCGAATTAATATAATGCTATCACTGAATTACTTGAACTACTTGAAAACAACTATAGATCAAGACACGAGCTATCTCAGCAACAGACTGAAGAAATTTGTCTGAATTGTGAAAACATTCCCCCTCCAATGTTACTGAAACAGCAAATTTAGCTCTATCTGTGAACCTAAAATTTTAAATGTAGACAGATACTCACTTTAGGATATCAAACTGAATTAAATCGACACTTTCATCTAATACCAAAATCAAAGAGGTTTCGTCACAGTAAAAGACAAATCAGTGAGTAAGGCACTGACTCGCTAATCAGGATGTGTCCGGGGTTGAGAAAGATTATCAGAATTTTCCAACAGGATTCCTCCTTTTCATTGGTAAAGGATGGAGACCTGCCAAGTTTCAGTGACTAGTCATTTAGATTGGTAAGAACAAAACCAAGGCTCTGTTTACACATTCATATGCATGGTAAAGAACCCATGACAGTTGGAATTCAAAATATATAGGCCATAGCGCCGGTATCCCGAAAGTTATCCTCGTTCCACACCGCATGGCATGTGCCCATCTTCATTAACCTGATCCCATTTTATTTGTAACAGTAATGAAATAAAATGAAATGAAATGAAACGTCCTACTGTTCTGCTCCTAACTGGGCTAATGAAGATGGGCATATGCCATACACTGTGCTATGAGGGAAATTTTGCCCAGGCAGCGGCACTATGGGCTGCTCTTATATTGAATTCAAACTGCCAAGAGATCTTTTACGTGCTGGCCAATGTATACACAGGTCCTTGGTTTTCCGTCCCATACGAATGACTAGTCAGCTGTCCTTGACAGGCGTTCGGCACCACTGACAAGGGAAAACCACACCCCCAAATCCTGATGAACTTTCTCGGCTAATGCAGGGATCAAGCACCCAACTTCCAGGCTAATGAGCCAGCGTCTTGCCGACTAAGCAACGATGGTTCCCCATTTGTAAAAAAGAAAACAATCAGCCCAAACTTATTATAACAAAACTGTTTGTCTTTATTACAGATATTTGTTCTAAATAATAATATATATTATAAAAAAGATATTGATGCCTCACCTGTACCACTAACAGACACAGGTATTCCAGGTGAAATATATAACGGTATACCAGACTGGGTCTATGAAGGTAAATATTTAGTTATATTGGAGTTATGTCCCTTTAAAAAATACTTTAATTTTTATTAAAGATGCATTATGTGAGTGCTAAATCTGCTTATTGCAGATCTGTCATTTGGCCTCAAATGTTATATAAATTATTTTTGAGACATTTTTTTATACTCATGACAATCCCATTATCAACTCTCTAGATCATTGTAAGGTTGTGATTTTGAACGGATATAAACATGATCACCATTCAATAATTTGATTTAAAAATGGATATTCAAGACTTAACAATGGTAGCAATGAAAATCCAGACTACGCTATTCTTCAAATATTATTAACTTTACTCAGAATGCAGTAATTTAACTGTAATTTCCAATAATATATTTCTTTTTCATTATCAATTTTTCAAGTGTTATAGCGAGAACTGTCAGCTCTTTATCTAATAAATCTTACATAATGCATCTTTAATAATATAGCTTTAATCGGTATTCAGTGAATTATGATATTTCTACATCAAAGCTTTGAATGAAGCATTTGCTTGAAAACATACTTGGATTTTATCTCTGATCAGAATATACACATGTGAACACCTTCAATAATTGATTTGGGATCAAGTGAAAAATATTAAATAAAAACAGTTAAGCTGAATCCAAAGGTGTCTAAAAAAAAACAAATCTTTTATACCTGTTTCAAATTTCCTCCAAATGAAGAATGTTTAAGAAGACCAAAGCTAATGTCACATGATTGACACAAAAATCACATGGTCAAACAATGGCGAAGTCCACATGGGCGCACCAATTAGCGAAACACTGATTGGATGTACGTACAAATCGTTATATTCAATGAAAATTTCAACGCAAACGAGACCAACGCGAACATTAGTTGGTCCATTGATGTTTTTGATCTCGCGAACTTTGTATTCGGCCAACAAATGTTCATGTTGGTCTCATTTGTGCACTGGCTAACTTTTGTCCCAACACACACCAGCTAACTTCTGTCCCAATGCACACCAGCTAACTTTTGTCTCAATGCACACTAACTAACATTTATCCCTATGCACACCAGCTAACCTTTGTCCCAATGCACACCGACTAACGTTTGTCCCAACGCACACCAGCTAACCTTTGTCAGAAAATATTGCTCACCCAACAAACAAACATCTGCATTGGGCTTTAGTAGTATCCAATTGAATAAAAGTTAGCTAAATAAGTGACTTATTTATTTTTACAGAAGAGATAATAGCATCAGATAACGCTGTGTGGTGGTCACAGAATGGTTCGTACCTGGCGTATGGTGTGTTTAATGATACACGTGTACCCAAATATTATTACCCTATATACGGTGAATTAAATAACGCTTATGGTGAACTAGCCAGTATACCATATCCTAAGGTATTTTATAAATATTAATTTATTACCCTATATACAGTGAATTAAATAAGACTTAATGTGATCTAACCAATATACATTATGTACCATATCACTGTAACGTTGATATTGTTGACGAAGCAACAAATAACTGTTATAAATGAAAATATACGAGACTAATAGATCAAAGTCATCAGTTTATATACATAATGTGTATTAGTTAGTTAAAATTGTTAGTAATCAGGCAGTAGTCATTAAGTAGGTGTTTCGTCACTATGGTGTTAAAACTGTGACTATTGGTTAGGTTTGTGTATTCAATAGTGATGGGTGTTATAAAAAGTCACATTTCTACAGCTAGTTACACACCTGCTAATTAATGACAACTGTATAATTTCTAACCACTTTCTATACATACTAAACATTAGTTTAGAATACTGACTACTTATATGATTTAATGATAAAAATGTGCATTACTAAAACATCTAGCTTCATTAGTCAACGGTGTCAGCTTACAGTGTATCCTAAGATATTTTATAAATATAATTTTATTACCCTATATACGGCAAAGTGAATAATGCTTGTTAGCCCTAGGCAGTTAAAAAAATGAGCTTCACAATCTAGTATGAAAGTCATCAATTTTCTCATATTTTTTTGAGGAATTGGGATAATCAGTATTTACATGAAGCAGGTGCTAGATAATTTAGGAATATGGTTTCTTTGGTGGGTATGAGGAAGTTTCAAATTATAGTTACTATGGCGACTGTAGTACATGTTGCTGTGGAGATCATTAGTTATTTATTTATGTTCAAATGGTACTTTGTTGACATGCGATTATTTCTATATTTTAGCCAGGATACCCCAATCCTACAATCAAGATTAAAGTGGTTTCTATAGCAACGAAACAAACCATAGAGATTCAACCACCAGCTAATTTGAGAAACAAGTAAGTTTTACATAGTTTAATACTATGCGACATTTCATTCAGGGTACTCATGTCTTTATCAAGCAAATATATACAGAATATGCAAAGTATACAACAGAATTAACAACTTGGTAATTGTGTATCCATTGAATTGTACCTTGTGTTAATATGTTCAATTACTAAATGCCTGTCAAAGAAGTTTATCTTTTATATTTTTGTAATCAATTAGTTTTGTATTTGGATATAATTTTTTTCAGGGAATATTATTGGGATATAATTGTTTTTCAGGGAATATTATTGGATTATAGTTGTTTTCTAAGGGATAATATTGAGATGGCGGAATGGTTAGCATGTGCGCGCTGTATAATAAAGCTTGTTGTTGGATCAACTGCCGTGGTTTCGATTCCCCGATTGTATGTGACAAAGAGTGGGGTCGCCTGTCCAACCTTGTGTGTTTTCTCCGGGTCCTCTGGTTTCCTTCCAATGCTAAAGACACCACTACGCGCAAGTAAATAATTGAAATGAAATTGAACCATATGTTAGTCCCGAAATGACCTAGTTTGTGTCGAGTGAACATTAAAACCCATTTCTCTCTCTCTCGCTCTATTATATTGAGATATAATTTTTTTGCAGGGAATATTATTTTACTACAGTGGTGTGGAAAGATGATACCTCGTTCCTAGTTAGTTGGTTAAATCGACCCCAGAATTACTCCATAGTAACTGTTTGTAATGTTCAAGGCAACTGTGATGAGGTACAGAAACTGTTTTACTTTCTTTTTCAAATTCACCTTTGACGGGGAGGTCAAGTAATTGAACTTGTATGTTTTAAGTTCTATCATTGATGGAAGTATCATGGTTTCATACCTTTGCTTATATATCACTTGGTTTCGATCCCTGGTTGTACTTGACAAGAAGTTGGGTCGCCTGTCTAACCTCGTGTGTTTTCTCTGGGTCCTCGGTTTTCTCCCACTGCTGAAGACCCCTACACGGAAGCGAATTATTGAACCATATGTTAGTCCTGAAATGACCTATTTTGTGTCGAGTGGATGTTAAACCCCATTTCTCTCTCTCCCCCTATTATATTTATTAGAGTAGACCAATCTGACTGATACTCCTTCCATAACATATTTATATGGCCACTCTGAAACAGTGACCCATCTTCTTGATAATCCTTCCTGGTCGTCAAATGATCCATAATGTATTATGAATACATTGAAAAGTGTAGACATTTATAAATACCGATTACATATAGAATATTGAAGATTTAGAATATAGAATACTGAAGATTTTGTATATAGAATATTGACATCAGAAAAAGGTGGATTTCTTCAGAGTTGTTGGCCAAAACATTCAAGGGGTGTATTCTTGCCTGCACAGGACAGACTTTAGTTTGAAATGTTGCGCTCTAGAAATCCTACAATTATTATTATTATTATTGAATACTCTTGGGTATTTGTCAATTATTGACAGTTACTCTTCTTAACTTACCGATAATAAATCTTGTGTACAGGCTAGAGTTTTTGATGTAATTTGTTGATGTGTGGATTTTTTCATATTTTACAGAGTTTACATGAAGAGGGACATGGAGGATGGGTAGATATGGTAGGAATATTTTAAACTTTACAATACATAGATACATACATAAATACATACATACATACATAGCAAAAAAATGTTGGGTAAATTGTGTATGAAATTGGTTGACGCTTTTGCTTCAGCTTTTAAATCAGAATCTAGAAAATAAAAACACAAAAACCATTTACATTTATAAGTAATACAATCACTGGTTTATTACATTTTAAATGTAATACAATCACCGGTTTATTATACATATAAAATGATAAAAGAACACGTGTAAAAACATGATACTATACAAGTGATTTAATTCCATGTAAATGGTTGTTGTGTTTATAGTTAATGCTACTCAAGTTATTATTATTGCTGTCATTTTATTTCCAGTTCCATGCACCATTAATATCCAAAAATGGAATGACATATTTTTGGATTTTGCCCCAGAAAGATGCGGATGCAGGCTATTTTAATCATATAGCCATGGTGGAAATAAAGGTGAGAATAGGGGCCACATAACTGGGATCCAGAAAGGTCCATTTATCAAAAGGGAAATCACTGAATATATTAGTCATAGGATTTAGGGGCAAGACCACATTCCTCACACCATCTGTGCGAGATGACTCACACCATTAGTGCGAAATGACTCACGCCATTAGTGCAAAATGACTCACACCATTAGTGCGAAATGACTCTCGCTATTTGTGTGAAATGACTCACGGCATTAGTGTGAAATGACCATGTTATCCTTTTGTTTATAAAACCTGAAGCAATGTATTATTTTGTAGAAAAGAGCTTACTATTAGAAAGATGTATTTGTCATAAACATTATTTTCTTACTTAGTTTAGCAGATTTTTCTCAAATGTTGCATACACCATGTTCGATGTAACTGTATATTCAAATCTGGTCAATTAATTGTTTGGGGGGGGGGGGTCTAAAGCCTGTCATTGAGTCAAGATTCGTGGTTTCAATTCCCAGGGTCACCTGTCCAACCACATGGGTTCTCTCCTGGTCCTCAGGTTACCCCCTACAGCTAAAGACCCCTAAACACATTCAAATTATTGAAATAAAATTGAAACATTTTGTCCAGTGGACAATTAGCTCCATTGCCTTTCTCGAAAAATAATATTTTACTGTTCGGCAAAGACTGTCAGATATTTGTTGAAGTGTTGATTATATTTTATATTTGTAGAGTGGTGATGATCGTAAGATATTTTTGACGATCGATAGATGGGAGATAACTAAGCTGGTATCATATGATGATAATTTAAAACTGGTTTATTATATAGGAACTGGTGGGGATCCACGACGTAGACATCTTTACAGGTACAAATACATTTCCTTGTGTGCATTTTGTTTTCAAACTTTGATCACATCGATCATTTTTGGAGTAAAAAAAAAAAATAAAAAAAACGTTTCAGGAATAGTGTCTAGACATTTGGATGGGATAAAAAATCAAGGTTCTTTGTACACATTTTCTTCTTTGCATTTTTATACGCTCACATTTTCATGTGGACGTATATTGTCATCGCCCCTGTCTGTCCGTATGTCTGGACGTCCGACAGTCCGTCCGTCCTTCCACAATTGTTTGTGGACTCTCTACAGGTCACAATTCTTATCCGATTTTGACGAAACTTGAAATATAGGTTTATCCTCAAAAGATCTCAGCTGCTTTCGATATTGGCATGTATCAGATCGAAACTTCATGGATTATGGCCCCTGTTTGTACGAAAAATTACGTTTTTAGCTTGTGGACCCTATAGTGGTCACAATTTTTATCCAATTTTGTTGAAACTTGAAATGTAAGTTTATAACCCAAAGATCTCGGTTCCTTTCGATATTTGCGCATTTCGGACCGTAACTTCCTGAATTATGGCCCCTGATTGTACGAAAAATTGCGTTTTTAGCTTTTGGACCCTATAGAGGTCATAATTTTTATCCGATTTAAAAAATGTATTATTATATCACCGTAACACCCTAAGGACGACTGAGTTCGAATTTCGTGAAAATCGGCCCAAAATTGACAGACAAAATGGCCACCGTTCGTTCTCAAATAGCGTAAAAATATGGTATATCAAGGTTGTGGACCCTATAGAGGTCACAATTTTTATCCGATTTTGTTGAAACTTGAAATGTAAGTTTATAACACAAAGATCTCGGTTCCTGTCGATATTTGCGCATATCGAATTGTAATTTCCTGAATTATGGCCCTTGTTTGTAGAAAAAATTACTTTCTTTGTAGCTTGTTCTCTATCCATCTCTCGAAAATGTGGGCGTATCCTGCCTGGCAGCCGCTGGTTTATTAATTAGATCACATCAATTTTATTTTTATGATGGAAGCTTTTTAAAAACATATGGAGGACAGAGGGCCTGGCAAAACAGAGTGTCTAGTCATTCAGATGGGATGGAAAATCAAGGTCCTCTGTACATGTTGGCTTGCTCATAAACAAACCCTTGGCAGTTGGAATTTGAATAGGTTGAAAACCTGCTGTCTAAGCAAAACTTCCCCCATACCCCAGTTTGTGCAGCAAATCCCCCCCTCCCCCATATCCCAGTTAGTACAGCAAACAGCAAATCCCCCCCCCCCATACCCCAGTTGGTGCAGCAAATCCCCCCCCCCCTCATAACCCAGTTGGTGCAGCAAATCCCCCCCATACCCCAGTTAGTGCAGAAAATTCCCCAATACACCAGTTGGTGCAGAAAATCCATACCCCAGTTGGTGCAGAAAATCCCCCCATACCCCAGTTGGTGCAGCAAATTGATTAAAATCATAGTATTGGATTTAGATTAATGTTTTACTTACTTTTCAGTGTTGGTTTGAATCGGGAATCGACTTGTTTGACATGTGACCTGGATGAACAATGTCAGTACCTATCGGCTACATTTAGTTCAAATTCACGTTATTATATGCTGAACTGTGAAGGTCCTGGTGTACCTTACACTGCATTACGTACCGTTGCCGGAGCTCAAGGTAAATATCTTTAGTTACATCTCCTCCATATTTATACTAATATTCATATGTGCTGCACATGTAACAGAGTAGGGTCATCAGCTTAACCTTTGTGGGTTTTTAACTGGTCCTCCGGGTTCCACCCACTGCTAAAGATCCCTACAAGGTAGAGGTGTATAGACTCCATTTCTGGTATCAGGGTTTGATTCTCGGTGTGGGATATTTCTTTTTCTCCACAAAAAATCTCCTCTAGATGCAACCTGCTATAGGTCACAGCTGTGTCTCGAGGACAGGCCATCTGTTGTCTAAAATTTAAATACACTTCCTACGAACTTGGTCATAGCGTTGGCGTGCACATAAAAGATCCCTTGGCAGTTGGAATTCGATATAAGAGTAGACCGTAGCGCCACTGTATACCATATGCCCAGTCAGGAGTAAAACAGTAAAACGTCAAACCCCGTTTCATTTATTGGTCAAAGGGGATTTGCTTTCGCTTACTCGGTAGAGATCTATGGATTACATTGTCAGCACTATTTCTGTCTTGATTAAGATATTAAATACCATTTTCAATGTAGTCGAATGGTTAGGAGGGCACTGTAGAATCGCATTATTAAGGTTCGAAGGTGTGCTCAGTACAGGTTATGGAGAATAATGAAGCTTTATTAGAGTAAGGCTTGTGACAGTATTTTATTATTATATTACAGTTCGAGTTATGGAGAATAATACAGCTTTACGAGAGAAATTATCTAAAAAAGCTTTACCACGGGTTGAATATGTTCAGATAGAAGTAGAAGATGGTTATAGTAAGTATATTTATCATCATGATTATGCAATACACTTACGGAATTAAGTGGACTCTGTCAAATCCGACATCGTACGAGATCGTTACAATATGTCGGATTACGCAGAGTGTCGGAATACTCAGGAATTATATTGTTCAATGGTATGAAGGGCTCGATATAATCGCTATACATTTTACAGGTATATAGACATGTATATATTTTGTGGGGGCGCAACAGCTATTCGCGTGACCCGGTTTTTTGGGGCGCTCTAATTAAGGAGTACTATTTATCATGATCCATAAATCTCCAGTTCTGTGTGACGAAATGATTAAAGGTATGCCTTACCATTTCTAGAACATGTATGCCACTTCTTTGTATTCTGGAAGATCACACATAGCTTTAAATCTTTGTAGAAGTTGTTTATCAAATTTTGTTTTTATTTTATTCAGAAATCTGGGGTAAACTTTTACTACCACCCGTTTTAAAGAAAGAAGAAATCCTCACTTATCCTTTGTTATTGCATGTGTAAGTGGTTTTATTTTTATTTTTAAATACAATATTAAAGACTATATTAGTCACTAAATTCTAACTAGCTGCCATTTGAACAAATGGTAACTATAGCAACTAGCGTGGAAAAAAAAATGTTGCTATGTTTTAATCTTTTCATCAAACCATCTTACTTTATGTCACGTGTATAGTAGTGGGGGTTGGGTGGCCGAATGGTTAACAGGTGCGCGTTGTATCTGACGGTCTGTCATTGAGTTAAGTGGCTTGGTTTCGATTACCCGCTTGTACGTGACAAGGAGTAGTGTTTCCTCCCACTGCTAAAGAACCTACGCGCAAAGGAATTATTGAAATAAAATTGAACCTTATGTTAGTCCCGAAATGACTTAGTTTGTGTCGAGACGATGTTAAACCCCATTTCTCTCTCCCTGTGTATAGTATTGGCAGCAAGTTAAAGATCCTTTGGAATTTGAAATTGAAGTTGTAGCCATCACTGTTAGTTGAAAATTTCCCTCACTGCACACTGTTTGATAGTTTGAGCAGAAAATTAGGACATTAAACCCCATTTCATTTCAATTTTGCTTTGGTTTAATTTTCAAAACTTTGTTTGATGTTATCTCAGATATGGTGGACCAGGGAGGCAGAAAGTCACAGAAAAGTTTAACATTGGATGGGAGACGTATCTAACCAGTTCCCGTGATATGGTCTATGCATATGCTGATGGGCGCGGTTCAGGCGGTCGTGGCCAGAAGTTCTTACACCAGATCTATAAACGCCTCGGAACTGTTGAAGTCGATGACTCAATCACAGCAGGAAAGTATGTACATGCTGGTAATTTTTATTATGTACCTTTTCAAAATTTGTATTGAATACACTGTAAAATTGATATGACAAAATAAACAGATCTAAGTAGTAGCCGCAATGGCTAAGGGAGTAAGAGGGTCCATCTTCAATCCAGGTGTTGGCCGCGAAAGTTCATCTTGAGGCGTGATTTCCCCTTGTCCGTGGTGCAGGATTGAGGGCCTGACAAGGAACAATTTCTAGACATTCAGATTGGATAAAAAACTGAAGTCCCATGTACACATTTACGTGCACGTGAAAGAACCCTTATCCATTTTAATTTAAAGTAAGAGAAGGTCATAGCACTGCTGTCCAGTCAAAATTTCCCTCATAGCACAATGCAAGGCGTATGCATGTCTTCATTAGCCAAGTCGGTGCAGAAAAGTAGGATGTTAAACCCCATTTCATTTGTATTGAATACACTGTAAATTTGATATCACTAATGAAACTGGTAGTCATAATGATTATCATCATCTGTATCCCCAGTGGTAATATTTTTTTTTTTGCAGACATTATTCCAAGTTACATTATGTTGATGATAAAAAAGTTGCAATATGGGGTTGGGTAAGTATAGAAATATCTTCTGTGTTTAAACTATGATATATTAATTGAAAGGGAATATTAAATGGGGTGACTATTAAAATATCGACAAGCTAAAGTAAGTCATTTTTGACACATTTTACAATTGTCTTGGTAAAGAACTTGGCTACTTCAACTGTCAGAATATCGCCATTCAGTAGTTGACCACCGGTGTCATTATTTCAATTAAGTCTTTCTTGTAAATCATTGTATTGATTTAGTTGAGGCTTGGGACGGTTACGGCTAGTCCATAGATCCATTTGATATCTGTTGTTTATTTCTTGCAATGTCTGTGTAGTTTGTCTTGAACGCAGACTTGTCTTATTGTGTGGTCCTCCTGCACTTACTATTAAGGGTTATCAGGATTGACCTTTTAGATACTTATAAACATACATTAATATGCTTTGATTTATTTCTTGAGTGATATAAACATTTGTTTACTACTTTAGTCCTATGGAGGTTTTGTAACATCTTCTGTCTTGGGTAAAGATAAAGGAACCTTCCAATGTGGAATAGCAGTTGCTCCGGTTACAGATTGGATTTTTTATGGTAAGTTATTAAGTATTTGTACAGAAGCGTTTTATTGGACCAATGCATACACTGCTGTTGATTTGGATATATTTTAGAACTTGAATGAATCCAGTGCTTTATAAATTCTGTTTTAATTATTTTCCATCATTAATTGAAATGTTATTGGAGCATTTGTTAATCCAAAAGGGTGGGTGTGACATTATTGCTTATTAAAACTTAATTTGTGATTAATATCTGTTTGATTATCATTTAATCACAGTCTCTATTCCATATTCTTATATGGAAATTATTAATTTTTGTTTATTATTATTACAGATTCGGTATATACTGAAAGGTACATGGGAATGCCCAGACCTGATGATAATTTACAAGCTTATAAAGATTCAAATGTATCCCGATATGCTGAGAATTTTAAAAATAGTAATTACCTATTAATACATGGAACTGGAGATGGTAAGAATATCTTTTTGTACATTTTTTCAATTTAAATCACCAGAGCATAAATATCTACATTAATTATCATATTACTGATTTATTATTATTATAATTTCATTTTTAAAGTGCCACATTATAATAATAATTGGTTATTTCTAAGCACTGTACAGGTATATTTACACAATGGTACAGCATAATTTTATTCAGATGACTCTGTAATTCATTAGCACTTTATTACCAGAGCCTATTATCAGCTGTTTAGCTTCTTGTTATTGGAAGTTGAAGTCTAGTATTTAGTTTTCACATCTTTTTGTTTCAGACAATGTACATTTCCAGAATACTGCTCAGTTGATCAAAGCTTTAAATGAAGCAAACATATATTATAGAACACAAGTAAGTAAAATTTAATTTCTTTTACAGTATTATTGGCTTCTGAAAGCCAAGTATTCTATAAAGAGAACAAATTACTTTTTTTTTTTTTCTGTCTTTGTTTTAAAATAAATCATTTACAGCTATGAATGACGGTACTTCCTTGGTGACATTATCCAGACCTGAATATATTTATGTGACATAGCAAATGTCAGGCTATTCTTATTATTGAAACACAACGAAAAAATACCAAATATGTTTAAATCAATTTAAATAACATGGAAATATTTATGTATTTTTTCAGATCTACACAGATAAACACCATGGACTAGAGGGCGGTAACACACGAAATCATCTTTATGAAACTATGGAAGATTTCCTCATCGAATGTTTTAAAGGGTATTCAGAAAAACTTGGCAAGGAACCAGAACCTGAGACTGAAAAAGACCAATCAGCATAGAGATAGTAGTAGATAGCATTACAAGATGTGCGTGGGCAGAATGTTGAATTAATATGTGATATTTGGACACAGACAAAATATGTCAATGCTACGCAACGATTATGTGTGTGAAATGGAAATGTGCGTCTGCATTCTTTATTTCATTGGGTGATTTATTCATGAACAATTGTGATTTCATTTACATGTAACGAATTAATCAACATGACTGGTGCGACATTATCAACCGCTTAACTCGCTAAGAATGAACGCTTAAATCAGCATATTTAGAAAAATATATAGCTTATGTGTCTGGATAAATATTACAACAAGCGTTGAATCCATACGATGTGTGAGGCATTAGAAATTATCTCTGATCAAGTCAGTAGTAATCATATTTGAACTTGTGGCACCCAACAAAGGACTGGGAGATAACGATAAAAACTGTAAGATACTGTTTACATCCTTCATAAATTTGATTGGTGATATCCGTTACAAATGTCACAGATGGTGATCGGTCTGACTCGAACCTGCATATCAGAGGGTGATTGGCTTGAATCTAACCTGTGTCACAGATCATGCTTGGTTTGATTCTAACCTGTTTAACGGATGGTGATGGGCTTTACTTTATTACTTTTTGCCAGATAACCTAAATCAACCTCATTGATAGAAAACTTAGTGTTGAGAGGGTTAGAACTGTGGAATGTTTAATGCTGAAGTCATTGAGGAAATTAACTGTGGTCTGATTCCAGAAAGATTAAATATTACCGTAGATTATCTCCCTTTAGTCTTCAGTCTTTACATCATGATTAGAGAAAGTTTAACAAAACAGTGGTTAGAGAAAGTTTAACAAACTAATTAACTCACTTTTGTTTCAACAATATAGTCTCCAGATGAGTTTTGAATAACCATTATGTCATTATTATTCATTTACCTTGTATTTGTCAAGAGTCGTTTCCATTTTTTTTATCAGTAATAATTAATTTACTCAATTATAAGGTACACTAGCTCGATCAGTGATTTGTTTGTTGTGATTTTGATTAGCATAGATGTAGTATGAAAATTGGTATATTTTATTCTGATGCCACTAGTCCTTTTTGCTTTAATTATTGCTGTTTGATGTGAGAAAGACAATAACCTATTATAGGGTTTTTAATATGTCTGAATTACTGTTGTTATTAAAGGACCACAAATAGATCAGCAATGAAAACTATCAACATAGCTAATATGATTGAAATAGAAGCCCTGTTTGCAAAATCTCTGCACATACGGTCCTTTAAATTCAAAAACTTTATCCTATATAGCTTTTAATTAATAATGTTATGTTGAATGCAGTGTTTCATCAAATTATTAATGATGTTTGATATTTAATTGAATATTAAGAATTTTTATTACATATTTGTTATTAGATTAGTGATGGTATACCATTGTTGATAATAAATGTTATGTTGAATGCAGTGTTTCATTGAATTATTAATGATAGTATATCATTGTTGATATTTAATTAAATATTAAGAATTTTTATTAGATATTTGTTCTTGGAGAACACAAGAACATTACTGTACTTACGAACACATTTTTGAATACTCTTATTAAGATAGTAATCTTTATTATATCCAGCCATAATTTGATTGGTTTTTTTTCACTATTGGTGGAAACTTCATTGTTAAATTTAATTGAATATTTCAATTAAGAATTTTGTTAGATATTTGTTATTTGTGAATACTAGAACTTTATTAGGAACAAATTTTAGAATTTATTAAGATAATAGATTTTATTATATTGATTCATAATTTGATTTGCTCACTCTATGTATTGGTGGAAGCTTATTTCTAGCTGGTTATCACATTTTAAATTGCTTACCTACTGCATGTACATATACGGTCAGTTAACTAATGTAGCATTTTAGCACCAAATGCATATGTCCAAAAGTTGATGTTTTAAAAGGAAAGACCAAACTCCTTGTATAAGAAACCTTACTATCAAAAACATTTGTTGTAGAAACTGGTATATTTTGTTTTCTGAAGAATCGGACAGATTTTTATTTCTGTATTATTAAATATTTGATTGTAAATAGTGTTAATGTTTTATTTTTTGTAAATATTCACCCATTTTAAGTGTGATAGTGATGTTAATTTGTATAAAGAGTTTATTAAAAAAAAATCCATTTTACAATATTCATGCACTGTTTGCCATATTACACCCCCTAGCACTGTATGAAGATTGAATGGGATGAAGTTATGAATAAATGAATGAATGAATGAAAAAGTGAATGAATCAACAAAAGGAGAAATAAAGGAATGTTTTGCAGTACAAAAGAAGTAAATATTATTATATAAAATAATTACCATTTCAATAGGGGAAATCAGTTAAGTAGGTTTTGTAAGTTACTGCAATTTAGAGCCACTGGGTTGTCAGATCTGATGTTACACAAGTCGTCACTGCTATGTACAACCATTTAAGGTTGACTGACCTAACCCTGCACTGGAAACATTATAATTTTAAATAGACTTAAAAATTAGGAGGAAAAGGGTGAAAATGCAATCCGATTACAACTGGATCTTTCTGATTTACATGTAAATATTAACAGAAGAACATGTCATTTTAAAATAGATTCCATGTTTAAAATAAAATTATGTTTAGATTTCATGAAACGAATATATTACTAGGGTATATTGAAATAAAACAACAATATCAATATACTAAACACTATATTATATGTTACAGTCATTCTGTACAGACGTCCAATGTGGTCAGCAATTTGCTCAGATACCTGAATTCGTTAGTCAGTTTATCAAAAGACTAAAAAAAAAAGAGAAATGGGGTTTAACGCCCACTCAACACAAACTAGGTCATTTCGGGACTAACACATGGTTTAATTTTATTTTAATAATTGGCGTGCGTTTAGGGATAATTCAGATGCGCGTAGGGGTCTTTAGCAGTGGGAGGAAACCGGAGGACCCGGAGAAAACCCAGAAGGTTGGACGGAAAACCCTACTCCTTGTCACGTACAACCGGGAATCAAAACCATGCCAGTTGACTCAATGACAGACCTTATGATACAGCGCACACATGCTAACCATTCGGCCATCCAACTTCCCTTTAAAATACTAAAGCAAATTGGTTAGGCATTTGATGCCTAAAGTGTTGAGAACATGACATACACATAGACATGCTAACCATTCGCCCCCCCCCCCCCCTTCAAAAGATTAAAACAAATTGGTCAGGCATTTGATGCCTAATGAGTTAAGAACATGACATACACATGATTCCTAAGAGTTTAGCAAATGCCTGGTCTGACAGATTGACTGTAAATAGATGTAAATATTCTAATAATTATTATGGTATACCTAACTTAATAATGTATAAATGAGTTAAACTTTTATCAATTTTTAAAATAATCTTTTGCTTTCTTTTATTGAATTTAATTCATTAATAAACTGTATTAGGTGTAGTATAATAATATGTTTTTATTAATCTATCTTATACCTTATTCTAAATTTACAGTTGATCTAATTCTTAGATTCATTAAGGTCTTTTATTCCCACTGTGGGTGCAAACTGGAAATGTTAAAGGAGTTACACCTCTATTCTTTGGAAATTAAAATGGATCAAAAAGCACACATTATTACTATAATTTCAATGTATGTAAAATATTTTAAATTTGTATAGTAATTTTAAACAATTATGTATGGCGGAATATGTGAGCAGTCCAAATTGAATTGTAGTCGCTTTTGTCTGATTGGTGGTTTTTCACAATGAAAATAGTATTTCTGAATTCCCACAGATACGTTTCATGGCCATGTGCAAATATTCTTGTCTTACCAAAATTTGTCAAATAAGTTGTGAAACCAATTAATTTGCTATTGAATGTGAAATCTACCCGACATCCATGTGCTCTCCAAATTCCTTTAACACCTAAGTTTTCATAATCGTGCAGGTGAGTGACTTTGAAATATCTTTTGTCAGTTTGCATTCAATGTACTAATACACCAATTAAAATCGTATTTAAAAGTACATGGGTTGTAGGCTACTTTTCTATTAATCTCTCAACCATGGAATTATTGAAAACAAAAGTCAACTTTTATCCCTCTTCAGGAAACTTTAAATCTGTTCAATTGACTGAATTAAAATCAAGATATTAAAACGAACTATCAGATATATGTATTTAATTACTATAATACTACGATTTTTAAAATTTTTACTTTCAGCACATTTTACATTAACTTTATACCATAGGTGGTTTTAATTAAATAAAAAAAATTCTCTATGTATTTGAAACTGTTTTAAGAATTTCCATCTCCTTCTTGTAATCTAAAACAGAATAAAAGATTTTGAAAAAAGCATTTTTGGTTTTGTCTTATTGTATTTCAAGAAAAGTGTTGTGCATTGGAATCTTGGATTTGTATTTGACAAGGAGTATGGTCATCTGACAGTGCTTGGTTTTCTCTGGGTTCAGGGGATTTGGACGGACAATTAATTCCCTGGTGTGAGGCTCGGGCCTTATGTTGTGGAATCTGACCTCAAGGCATTCCTAAGGTCTGTCAATTCCAGCCTTGTACATTACAAGGAGTATGGTTTCCTTGGTTCCCCATACTAAGGCACACTTGCCCTTCTCTTATACCTATGTATAAGATGACTAACTTCATAAGTTCAAGTATGCCATGTACATGTGACGTACTATACATGTATATGTGTTGTTTTTTTTTGTAAAACAACACTTTTAGGACAAAAGTGTCACGATAGTATGCATTATCCTTTATGATCAGATAGTGGGATGAGATGGGCATTTAAAGCGTGAGATAATGATATAGACATGTGTGATATCACAATTAATGCTTTGCATCAATGCAAAAATTCCCAGATCGGACCCTGCGTGTACACGGAAGCGCTTACGTTGAAACTGTCTCATTATATTTACATTAGACTAACTTTTTCGCCGGTGGAAACAAGGTCCGCGTTTGTTTAAAAGCCCGATTAAATAAATATGTTTTAAGTTGTTTTTTTAAAAGAATATAGAGATGTACAACAACTTAAGCTAAATGGTAGATTATTCCATAAAACAGGTGCTTTAAAAGAGCGCTGACCATAAGAGTCTAGTTGAACAGTTGTGGGCTTTAAAAGTAGTTTATCTGATGTACGTAATGTTCGGCCAGGTGTATAAAGTTCTAAAAGATCTGAGAGGTAAAGGAGCCACATTATTTAAACATTTTAAACTAAGTAATAAAATCTTAAAATCAATTTGATATTTAACAGGTAACCAGTGTAAATTATATAAAACAGGAGTTATGTGGTTGAATTTCTTAGTTAAAGTAACACGTCTAGCTGCAGTATTCTGTACTTTTTGTACTTTTTATCTATAAGCTTTAAAGGTAAACAATCTAAAAGTGAATTAAAGTTATCAAATCGAGAAAGTGACCACAGAATTAACAAGTGACTTTGTGGTCTCTGCAGTTACAAATTTACGTATTTTAGCTATCCGACATTTGAATACTACAACATTCTGTGAAATCCGACATCATTTTCATGTCCCGATTTATTTCCTTATTACTTCAGCCAAAAAAGCTTTGAGTAATCTGTATTCTGAATATATTCCGAATTACGACTAGGGCTATGAATGCTGTGACGTCATCGTGGCTAATTTTCATCGATGGCGTCAAAAATCAAGACACGCATTACAAAAAATGCTAATTTGTAAACAGATATCTGCTCTTAAAATTATAATGATTTATAATATGTTATGAATCAGCATTGCATTAGCCTTTCAGTGGTGTTATTTATATGTATGCCGAGAAATCGTCCGTTGAAAAGCGTATACGGCTTATCGAGAGACTTTCCCGTCACGAAATTTCTTTGCAAACAGATTTTTACGATTTTACATTTTTGTATGCTATTTTTTGTCCTTTCGTAGCTAATGGCAGAACCAAATGTCCTGTAAAATCAAAAAGAGGAAATCCTAAAATTTATTATACCGCTTGCGCTGGATTTCTAACCGGATTAGAAGCCAAGATATGAAAATTGAAGGAAAAGTTTGCTTTTTAATAATATTTAGAAAACAAAATTTTAACAAGCGCACGCCGATTTGTGAAGAAGAATGTGTTTTCTACAAACTGCTAAAAAATTATCCTAAAATATGTATAAATAAATAGCTACTATACGACCGTAATATGTAAGGGGTCACGCGTCAGTTCTCTTCACAAAATCCAGGGGGCGTGGCCCGGCTATGTTATCTTCGCGGGAGGTTTCTATTGCGTTGACTTGTATACATCATAACAATGACTGGCGTGGTTATTTGCGCTTATAAACCTGTAACGGTAAATCTCTTTGATCTTTGGGGTATATTTTATGCCCGGAATAACTTGCGGTCTGAAAGCTTTGGATATATACAGGGCAATTTGGGGTTATTTTTCTGAATGTTTTTCTTTAAACCTGTAACGGGTTATTCTTCCAGGGTAGGGTTTTTTCCATAAGAAAACATGATATAAGGTTTTTCTTACGGGAATTCTGTGATATTCTCATCTTGCGTACATGTAAATGTTGAGCGCAGATTACACTCCTCAGACAGATTAACCCCGCGCGAGGGGTGAAGATTGCGCCTAACATAAACATAGACGGTTTATAAGCAAGATAAAGTCCTCGACTTCGGTCATGCAGGGGAAGAAAGACTTCAGAAAAAAACCTCGACAGTATAACCTCGGCCCGCCGCCTTCGGTTTTTCTTTTTCTCGGGTTATTTTCTTCAGCCTTACTTTCCCCAGCCAAACCTCAGTCTCGTGCTTTATCCTACACGTAAAATCCACTCGCCGGTTATAAGTAGTAGATCACGTGACCATATCAGCTGTTTTTGTTTGTCAAAGCTAATTCAAGACTCGTATATGCAGAGTATATTAACCTGGGATTGTGTGTGGCATACATACATATATATTCATACGATATCCATTGAATCAACATTGTATAGCCCGATCTTCAATCGGTGGGTGTGAAGCCACAAAAGATTAACAGGCAATCACCAACCAATTACCGTTGAGATTAAAACTAAAGCCCCTTGTAATCGGTAAAAGCGGAGAATTCTCGAAAGGCGTGGCCAAGAAAAAACTGCCAGTCAATTGGTCGACCAATCCTAAAGCTTGGATGACAAGCGGTATTTATTCTGCCAGTCAATTGGTCGACCAATCGTAAGGCTTGGATGACAAGTGGTATTTATTCTGATTGGCTCAAACACCTCAACCGTCAAATAAGGCGTCAACGACGCCACATTCTTTTATTTATGGATAATGCACCATCGCATATCTGCGATACATACAGCAATGTAAATATTAAATTTTTGCCACACAATATAACATCTATTTTACAGCCACTATGCCAAGGAATAATGCTAGAGGATTGCGCCCAAGAGTCGTCGTTACGGTATGCACCCGAAAAAACAAAAGCAAACAACTTTAAATGATTATATGAATATAAAATAAATTGTAAATATGCATTGTTATTATTAGATATTTTAATGTATTAAAATTTTGAAAGGGAATAACGTTCTGGGGATTCGAAGCTACATTATAGTAATACTTCCAATTTTCGAAGTTACAATAATGCTTCCGGTTTTGAGAAAACTGTGTATTCCGACATTCTGTGTATTCCGACATATAGTAACGATAATGTACGATGTCTGATTTGACAGAATCCACTGTACATCAAATCACAAGCTAGCTGCCTGCTTGTTTTTGAGCGTCATCAATGTAAATAAATAATTAAACGTTATATATATATATTCATAATAACACAACTTTATGGATTTACTACTTCTTGGTTTATTACATGCAACGTTTCAATACTCTTACAGGTATCTTTATCAAGCAATGATCAATAATGAATAATAACCTTACATTTATAGTATATCCATGAGTAAAAACAATTTAACAATCAAAACATAACATTAATAAGACTTAACAACAACCATTTCCCTTTGAATATGACTTCACTATCTATCTTTAATATAACAGATTAAATTGGGGACTGAAGCCACCAACTAGACTAACATATAATCCTACAATCAATACCCCTTATCTACACAATTGAATAGGTTAGTGTTTTAAGGTTACTTCTTAATAATTCGGTAATCTTTAATATATTAGGCATAATTAATTAGGTTGATTCCACTCCCCTCCTCCCTTATGCTCAAAATATAAACTATCATATCACATTCTTAACCATATCACCTTTTACAATAAATAAAATTATAGTTCCACTGCTAATTCATAACTAGTTAATGAATTTACCTTCAATGTTTTTTTTCTTTTAATGACATCATCAATTTTGATTTTATAAAAAGGGAAAAATACTAAATTTGATATTTAAATTTTAGGCACAAGTTTTTAAATGTTTAGGAACTTTCAAAACAGGACAGCATATTCGCCTACACACAAGAACATATTCTAAATATTTGTACCATCATAGATGTTACTATAAATTCTAAAAGTATAATTAATATTAGAAAAGATCATTTTAGTATCAATAATCATATGTTGGCAACATTTACAAAGTGGGCTGTGACATTAATAGAAACTTGAATTTTTTTAAGACTGAGTGGTTGGCGTTTACATGTGTATATGAAAAGTTAAAGATAACTACTCTTAGGTATTAAATATACAAAAATATAAAAGGTTTTGAAAAAAAGCGCTACATTATTTGTTGATTACTAGCACTTTCAATTACTTTATTAAACTCTTCAGGTAAACAACATTTAGATAATACAACAATGACTTAGATATATATATATATATATAGATGTCCAAAAATAATAGCCAACCGTGTGTAAAGCTAATATATTTGTGTAATAATTGTAATAGATATAAATATGACATCATATGTCAATAATAAAAATAATTATAAATATATATAAATTTAACAATTCTGAATCACTAAAATGTGATGAAAAATATGTTTTGAGATTCCTTCTTGTTATAGAAAATGATGTAAGCATATTTCAAGAGATCTGAACAATAACTGGTAAATTATTTGTTCCTCACATTCGATATAAACATGAACTGTTATATAGGCACCAGGAGAAATATCAGATAACCTCTCATTGGAAAATGGCGTTATGATCAAAAATACACTTGTAGCGCGAGAGTAACAGATGGCGTGACGTAGGGAAATGGTATATGTACAGAAGAACATCCTGGAGCACATTCCATATCACAGTGGGTTGTCTTTTATAAGACTGTAATCTTCCGCTGGTAAATATAATGTCTTGTTTGGACCTGGTTTCACTCATTTTCCGCCTCTATTTTGTAACTCGATAGAATCGCATTAAATCGGCTACTTAAGTTTCAGTATATGTCCTTCGTTGC